CTATGTCGATAGGCCGAACATGTAACCTATGCTTGGAGAGATTTTCTTTTTGCACTGCGGAGTACAATGCAACATCATATAAAACAAAGAAAACAGCCGAGTGATTTTGATAATGTAAAAGATGCCAGTAAGAATAGATGACCTGCTTGGAGAGATTTTTATATAATGCAATAGGCCTTTTGCAACAAACAGTCACGTGCTGATATATGACTTTACTAACGAGTCAATTCAGCTCAAGGTCCCTTGGGGAAGGCTCTGCTGGATGGCAAACAAACTTTAAATTGCTTCGTATCTTGAAATCGAAAGTATCTTATAAGGGGAAAAAAAGTATTTTTGAAGGTTTTGTATGCGACGTTAGTAATCCAGCGAATAATCTTTGATAAAGGAAGTCCAAATTTTTTTGCCATCCAGTAACAATCGTGTCAATCTATTGCAAAAGGCCTATTAACCCGGCTAAAACGTGACAGGCTTAGATCCTTAGTAAGAGCCAGGCTTAGTACGGAATATTGTAGAACAAACAATAACAATAACAAAAACGCCAAACCGACAAAAAATTGGCAAACATAAATAAAGAATATAGAAATAAATTATAACGTTAGAGTACAAACCATATATTTGTGAAATAGTACTAACTAATTCGTACTAAATAAAACAAAGGAAACAATTGAAAAAAGAGTTAGATTATTGCAAAATGTCGAAAATGAAATAAGATAAATAATATTTTACAGTAAAAAAAGAAATCAAATTATTAGGAAAAAAGGCACAAAGCCTTTTCTAAGTGAAAAAAATTAATGTATTTTGAGCTCCTCAAAGTCCCACAAAATTTTCTTCAATTTCAATATTCTCTACTTTCACATCCCCATATAATGTCTTGCGTCTTTGGGGGTAACCAATCAAAAAACTGTCCCAAATTGAAAGGCTTCTTACTTGAATTTATACTATACCTGCTTTTATCTGTACAATACTGATTATCAGTTTATTCCAAGTTATTTTTGCGTGTACAGATCATCAAGAGTTTTGGTCTTACAGAAAATGTTCTTCAAGCTTCTATCTTTTTCTGTTTTTTACTTCTTCATTTTATCTTTGGATACCAAACAAGGTATTTTCAACATTGTCTGATCAGCCTTCAGCAAAATAAGTGGCTTTTTACCCTCCGGTAACCCCCCAAAGACGCAAAGGATTATGGGGATGTGAAAGTAGAGAATTAGAGAAGTTTTCGTATGACTGTGAAAAGCGCATGGCACGAACACGGTCGTCACACGGAAAAGGATAACCAATTACGATAATTTACTCTCCATCCAATCAAATACCCGGAACACGGCGCGGACACGGTCACCGCACTTGTAGACCAATCACATTGCGCGATAAACAAATCAGAACTGAGCTCTTCAGTCATGCGAAAACCGCTCACGTTGACAACGGGCGGCTGGATGCATATTTTCTTTGTATAAAGAGAAACGGATGAAAAGCGCACTGCGCATGCTCTGAACTTCAGCTCAATTGGTAGACGCGTAGTGTTTACGAATAAAACCATTAGAGATTTAATGGCGTTTGTACTGTTCGAATTTCTTTCGTATTCTTTCACCAGGGAAGAAAACAACTAAAGCGATGGTTTAGGGTGAGAAAATTCACAAGCATTCCACGAACGACCAGAACTTAAAGATTCATCAAACGCCAGTAAATCTCCAATGGTTGTAATACACGGTTCGTGAAGCAGTCCAAACACTGCAATTTTTTCCCGCGCTGGAACATGACGCAATAAGCTTGAAGCGAGATGACTTTTTACCCCCGTCTCTATACCATGATAGTTTTTAAAATTCTTTCATATTATAATTTTTGATTCCTTAGAAAATACACGGCACAATAGTCATAATTAAAGAACAAAAGCAATGTGAAAAGGATTGTGGTCTAGAGACGGGGGTAAAACGTCATCTCGCTTCAGGCTTATTACAAACCGTTCGGAAGTCGAGGAAATAATTGTCATTCCAGTGCATTGTGGGGCTGTATTACTGGACATATAATCGCGTCTACATATCGTCCCAATCCGATGCAAACTCGAGCCCAGAATCTTCTGGCTTTTTGGCCAGCAGGGTGTAAGGCGCTACGACAAAGCAGAACGGCTCTGGAGGATTCTGGGTACGAGATTGAGTCCTACGAATGAAATAAGATGAAATGCAATGCCAATTCGAGGTACAACTCGACCTCGAAATAGTTTTTTCTTCTTTCTAGCGGACAGCAAAATGGTAGGAAGTATTTGACCACATTCTCGTATCCAGACTCTTCTCAGCGAAAAATCGATTTCCGATTTTTCGTTGCAAACCTGAGAAGGGAGAGGGTACGAGAATTTGTTTGAGCATCCTTTGGAGCAGAGTATGAAATTCAAAGATATGAATTTCTTTCAATGTTTTTTAAATTGTTTTTTTTTTTAATGTAACACGATGACACAGTTGCACTTTTAAAGTTAAGCAAAAGATTGAAACGTTATAAATTTTAAAAGTCAAAATATCCCCCTGCTTTTACCTCACGATTTATTTCGTGACGTCACTTTTCCAATGACGTTAAAATCGATGGTTTTCACTGCGGCCATGTTGGAGGAACTCAACAAAAGAATTGTCAATGTATTCTTTTGTTGTATCCTCCAACATGGTCACCGTGTCTTTTGTTATTTAATTCTCTTGGGAATGGTTGAAACCATCAATTACGTTACGTTTATATCAATTGCAACTCACATGAAATCCGCCGGCAAATCGCTGAAACATCTACGCCATTTTTATTTTTTATTTTTTTGCAAACATTATTTTTAAATGCTCCAAAAGCTAAAATTTCGTACCAATATTGTTCCATTCCCTATTGATTTAATTCTTAAATTTATTTTTCCGCGATTATTCCATCGCATTCCTTGACAATCCAGCAGCAAATATCCAGCAAAGCCGCCGCGAACTTGTAAAATTCTTTCCATTTCCATGGCAACATTGATTTGAATGGAATATCGTTGCTTGGCAACCGTTTCTATGAGCAACAGCTATGCCTTTCTCGCTGTGTTTCTACGTATTGCTCGAGATTAAATTTGTGGTCTGCGGGGTTCTTGCTTCTTCGATGTTTAATATCTCTGTAGAAGAAAAGGATGAATTGTATTAGTACGGCTGGGATCCCTGTGTCTACAGGTAGCCCAGTAATGAAATATTTTTCTAAGTCTAATACCAGTAGTGTACTCCTGGAAGACGAAGGATAATGATGAGGAGACCTTGGGAGGGTTTTAACTTTCTATATAAGAATTTCGATTTCTTCTTAAACAGAATGTACTGTTCTTTTTGCTGTTGTTGTTGTTGTTGTTGTTTCTTTTTGTTTCGGGTCTTCTACAGGTGGGTGACACTCGAAATCAGAACCCCCTCTATAACAAAATTTTGGGTCTGCACCCAAGAGCCAATGGTTACGGAAGAACTTGCAACCCAAAGCAACAGGGCTGAGCACCATATACTAATTGGGAGTGTACGGTGCAGCAGCTTCTATAAAAAAACGTACTCACCTTGCTATTGCCATAAATGCTAAGTCAACATTTAAACCAGTTTTTGCACTTGTTTCCATAAAAGCAACATTATGATCCTAAGGGTGGAACAAAGAAAATCCATGATTAAAATTGTTGATGAGGACAAAGGAACAAAATAAAGTGACATAAGTTAAATCAGGTGACAAGGAAACCCATCAAGTGGCAGTCAACAAGGAAGCCCATCAAGTGACAACCACATGGAAGCCCATCAAGTGGCAATCACCAAGGAAGCCCATCGAGTGATGACCAACGAGAAAGCCCATCAAGTGGCAACCAACAAGGAAGCCCATTAAGGGACAACCACATGGAAGCCCATCAAGTGGCAATCAACAAGGAAGCCCATCAAGTGACAACCAGCAAGGAAGCCCATCAAGTGGCAATCAACAAGGAAGCCCATCAAGTGACATTCAACAAGGAAGCCAATCAACTGACAACCAACAAGTGACAACATTGATGATAGTTTACGACAAACTAACCTTTGCCAACTTTTCTCCTTGTTCTCGTGTAACCACTCTTTGTTTTGCTAGATCTGCCTGCAAGAACCAACAAAACAATTTAAAACTAGTTTTTCAATAATGTGTAATGTGTAATCACTATAATTTCCAGTGCTGATGATAGACAACATGTCTGAAAGCTCAGTAAAATAAAAATTGTAAAAAAATGAAGTGGTTACAATTATCTCTCTAGAAGTATATCATTATTTTGGTCAAAACCTATTCGATTTAATCCTAAAACATTTCATGTTGTGGATATGCTGACATAATGGTGCTGTCATGCTAATATTCAATCAAGGTGGAAACATTTCCTAGTTGGTTGGTTTAAAAGAATATTTGTAGTTTCAAATATAGTACTAACCTTATTTCCCAGTAACATTATAATGACATCTGAAGAAGCATATTCATAGATTTCTGCCAGCCATGCCTATTACAAATATTAAGCAAATATTATTTAATCCAGTGGAAGAGGAGCAGTTCTCTACCCCATGGAGGAGGCATGATATTGTATATGATATAGAGGCTTTGCACAATCATGCGAAGGCAGCCATGCCAGAGGCAGGAACAATAGCAGTTATTAAGGATGCATGCAAATCAGATGCAAATGAGACAACAAGCATTGCATCAGCCTGATAGCCTCACTTGTATGATCCTTAAAACAAAAGAATTTCTCATTGCAGGCTCAACTGTAATAACAGCTATTAATTCTGGTCTAATCTGAGTTTTCCCAGTGAAAAAGACTATATTGCTGTGCCTTTTGTCATTGCTGCCATCACATGATGGTACAAAGTCTCTATAAAAAACTCTTGTCTATGGCTAGAGAATGTATATAACCATATAACAAGGCCACTACATATTTCGAAGCTGTTTGAAGAAGTAGTTGAAGTTATCCCTGGCCCTTTAGAGTGCAAGCGGGAACAGATGTTTTACTGTTGCACCAAGCTTACAGCAAATGTTGAAGGGCGGGCTAAACAACTTATCGCTGCAAACTTAGTGTGCGGGGGAGCTTTACTGGTTGAATAAGGTCAGGAACCACGGAAAATCGGCTGTGATTGACGGTGACTTTCCACTCATTGTATTTATTACTTAATTATATATGTTAAGACTTACCCTTATATTCTCAAAGGAACTTTCATTTGTGACATCATATAGAAGAAGAAGAGCTAAACATAAGAAAAAGATAAGTTAATCAGCTGAATTAATAATAATAATAATAATAATAGTTTATTTATCCACATAACGCCTAGGAGCATTTCACACTCATTCAAAATATGCACGTGCACAAATTATTGCAGCTTCATAGCAACATAGAGTCCAATAGGCACCAAGAAAGCAACCTGTTCCTGCGACTTAGAACAATAAATTGCAATAAGTTGCATGTCTCTTGAACTTGTGGTTGGGACTTACCGTGTGAATCCCGATAGTAAGCGTGGGTTATACTACGAAATCGCTCCTGGCCAGCCGTATCCCAGATCTGAAAGAAATTAAGGAGTTGGTTTTTAACGTGATACATGTGTGAGCTGATGTTCAGTACCATGCCTGCATTTTAAAACATTTCTCTTCTCACTGTATACCAAATAAAAATATGGCAGTCAATTTGAATAACTATTATTCTGGACTGAATTGACACTGACTAGCCTCTAATGCATGTAAAAACACCTTTATGTTTCCACGTGAACACGAGGCTAGTCAGTCGCAGTCAGTGCAAAACTATATAGGTATTCAAATCGATTGCCATACTTTGATTCGGTATTCTCTACTTTATCAATATTTTAGTGTGCCATGATTGCTATCCATCTTTAGTAAAAATATGCAGGTGATTATAGAAAATCTCGTGCACTGGTTGGTCAAGAAACTCACACTATCACACGATAATCACCTCCAGCAAAAATCCAAAATGAAAGAATCATATTGTGTATTTATACTAAAACGATTATTTGCCTCAGGTTCAGCAATTATTGGGGAATATTTACCTTGCCGCTCGAAGACTCGCGCCTTAGCAAATATTCCCGATAATCACTTCAGCTTCAGCGAATAATTGTTAAATAATACATATACAAATATTTCATGCAAGTCTGATAGGACTGCTAAGTAAGGGCTATCTGTTAAATAATATAAAATTTTCAATAAAACTTTGGCTTCTAAAGGATTTACAAGACACATCCTTTCATCTTAACAAATGAAAACTTAATTTAAATCCATCTTGCAATTGGAGCATTAATTTTTTTAAAGTTTCGTATTTTTTTCTGAAATGGTTTTTTAAATTTCATATTATCAGAAACCTTTTATCTAAAATTTCTTATTTTTAAATATTTAAGTCACGTTCAATTTTGGAAATAAATGTCATAGAGTAATTATGACAAAAAGATTAATTATTAAATTTAAAAATTACACAAAACTATTAACTATATTTTACCTGTAGCTTGATCCTTGACTCTTCTAGTTCCACTATTTTATTCTATTCATTGAAAAAGTATTCGAATACTTAGATTTCCACAAAGGATATTTAATTGGAAAAATTTTATGAATTCGAAGCTCGTAATTATAACTGAAAAGCTAGAAGGTGGTAAATGTTAATTCAGATGTTTTAACACCTACAATTCAATAGCGTTTCCTGTCCAAATTATAAACAAATAGGGGATTTTATTAGCAATTTTTGGGGGATTCTAGTAAGATAGAGTAGTTAATATCTTACTTTGTAGTCGATGCCAACTGTAGAAATAAAAGATCCTGAAAGAAAGGCTCCGTCCTTGAAGCGAACCAAAAGACATGTTTTACCAACTCCTGAGTCACCAAGAAGCATAACCTGAATAAAAACATTAAAATATAAAAGGTCTTTTGTAAAATATACAATGCTTTACACCATAAATAGCAATAAACCGAGGCTTCGGTACAAAAGCAGCTATGTAGATCAAACAACTTTAGGTTTAAGTAAAAATTCTTCTGCAGATATTTACTCACCGCAATTTTCTTATAATGGCTCTATATAGGCTAAGATTACAATATCATGGCTTAATCTTTCACGTAATCATTACAAATCAAAAGCTTGTAAAGAAAGATATCTTGATCAGATATGGAGGCCTAACTTGTTGGCCATTTGATCGCCAAGCAAGAAATATCAAAACCACTTGTTTAAATTTAACTATTTGAGTACAAAATATCGATTACAAACCCTAGCTAAAGATCTAGGAATATAAAACAAAGATCCCGAGATATAAATACTTAAATTTATCGTTAAGTTAAAGCCCAAGTAAGTATATTTCTCAAGTATGTAGGTTTCAGCATGTATAGTGACGTTAAACTACTTACTTTACATGCTATGTCAAATGGTTCTCCTGTCTGCCGCCTCGTTGGCCCATTCTGCAAATAAGAAGTCGCCATAAAAAATACTCAAATCCAAGACGTTTACACCAGAATTTTCCACTGAAGTTTCTTATTTTAATGCAACAGTTTAACCATTGTGTATAATTAAGATAATATGCAAAATTCACTCTAAGGGAAATTGAATTTGAATAAGAATGGTGACGTAATAGTTTTATTTTACTAAACCTAAATGTGATTGGTTGATTAATAATGCAATAGTCAAACGGCACTTGCTCAGCACGAAAGTATGTTATTATATATTATTGATAAAATAGAAATAATATAAGACTTGAATAAGCATCTTCGTGTTTTTAGCTATGAGGGCGCTCGCTTTAGACTGTTTTGGAAGGGTTCCGAGCGTGAGCGACTTTTAGGGACTGAAAGAAAAATGCGTTGAGACGGAAACGGGCGGGTGTCAGTGAAGTAGAAAATATTTTGGATTTTTCCTCGTGTTGCAGGGCAACTGAGCCATGAATACGATAAAACAATAGCGAAAGATGATAATTTGGAGCTAAACAAAACCTTGAAGAACGAAAAACCCTAATCTAGAATTGCTTACTATCAATCACGTGACTTTTTTGGAGTTGACTGGGGGGCAAACAAGCGGTTGGCTGGGGGGCAACTAGCGGATGCTAAGTCAAAACATATCAAAATAAGTCCTCAAACTATTGTATTTGACTATTTTCACGACATTAAACCAGAAAATAAGAGATCAAAACAACCTCCAGGATTCTACAAGCCGTCAAAAAAAGAGCTATTACCGGAAGTGACGTCTATTGATAGCAACCTATACAATAAAAGCTTGCTACACCAAGATAGACCCAACTTTTCTTTCTTTCTTTCTTTCTTTTCATTTTTTTTTTTTTTCATTTTAGATTTGTCACGACGTTAACTAGTTCATTTTTATCTCTGATCGATTTTTTTTTTTTTTTTTTTGTAAGAAACATAGACTTGCCCTTATTTTATTTTTTTAAAGTTTTACTAAGCTCGTCTTAAAGTCAAAGACCCAGCATACGAGATGGATGTTCCTAAGATGGCTCCTGATCTGGGAAGTGTTGCCTCACAGCTGACCCAGTATGGGATGCTCCTAGTAATGGACTCCTGAAATGGGATCACATGCTGGCTCACACACCCAGTATAGGATAAGAATGCTGCTTTTACAGTAATAGGCTACTGATCTGGGAATATGTTGGCTCAAAGACCCAGTATGGGAGAGATGGATGCTCCTGGTAATGGGCTCCTGATCTGGGAATATCCTGGCTTACAGAATTATTAATTATTATATAACATGGGTTTTGGATGGACGAACGAAAGTGACTTTCGGCAGTTTACCTTAATCATACAAGATATATCTTAATTAAATGATAACGATTTGCACACTCTAAATTTTGATAAGTTGCTAAACTATTGCGCCTTCAATCCGACGCGCGAAATCGTACATTTTGCAGTCGAGGCGAAGTTGGTTTTAGTGCACGTCAATCAAGGCGTTTCCATGACATTCGTGTCAGAAAATACAAAGTTTTCAAGGGCTATGGAATGTTGAAAAGCCTCGAAAACCAATTCGCACGTCTCGACTGCAAATTGTAAGGTTTCGCGCGTTTGACTGGAGAAACACTGTAAGACTAGTTTGAATATCGTATAATATAGGTGATCTCGCTTTGACAGCCCATCAAAAACCAGCCAATAATCGCGCAGGAAGAAATCTTATCAGGCAGTCAATCGAAAAAACATGGCGACCGAAGCCAGAAAAATTTTTTTGTGAATCTTTGCTTCCCTAGCTACGTTATGGACTAGCAATACATTTTCAAAAATTCCACGTATTCTTAGGACAATTACCTATGTGTCAAATTGTGCGTTTTAGTTTCAATTCTTTTATGAAATTATCGTGAAACAACTGAAACTAGGATCGCATGATCAACTACAACAATCCTTTGCACGCTTTCCCCGAGATCACGTGGATAAATTTAATAAAACAAACAACCAAAAAATCAAAAGAACAAAATAAAAGTAAAATTAAGTAGTGAATAAGTAGTACATATTTGAAAATACATTCAGTATAACATTTGCCTTCTTAATATATATTTTAGGCTTTACCATATTAAAGAGTACAATTTCATATGTTATATAGACCTAATTCGTCATGGTACAACGTTTTTCCATTTCAAAAGGTATTATAATATCTTTGTTTAACGGTTGAGCATTAGACGTAAGACACATGAATATAGATACAACTTAAACGTGAAAGTATCTCATTATCAATGGAATGACACGTGGTGTAAATGGGAAACATTGCACCACGACGAATAAGGTCAGTTGTAACTTAGAATGAAACTTGACGTTGGTTTGAAAATTGAATACATGCATATGAATTGAATGGCATAACTCACTCGTAGCACATATCAGGCTAAAAATCAAAAGTCTTATAGCTTAGTATAAACAAACTAGTTGGATAATTACACTAAACCGTAGTAGTACATATATTTTGCTTCACCACCATGAATAAAACTTCAAACATCATCAGACCTAGTCTAGACATTTTTGCGACTAGCTCTCATTAAGAATCCAGGGGTGCTTACCATTTAAACCCAATCCATTCTTTTGGAAATTTGTTTGCTAATATTAAAAAAGAGCGGGAAACTTTGACATCCGACAAAGGATACACGCGTCTACCAGAAGACCCGAAAAGAGCGGGAAGAGTAGATTACATCAATGGCAACACCACGTGTTTTCAGGAACTTTCCGATTGGAATGACACAAACCATGAATTTATTTTCCAGACGGGAATTCCGATTTTTTGGCAGGGTAAATAATAAGCACTATCGCCCTGGATTTTCCTAATGGAGCGACAAACGAACACCGAAACATGAAATAATTGTTTTCGAATTAGTCAAAAACCGTTGGGTTTCTTGATTAACATACTCAATCAGTACTCAGGACATATAACAACGTGAGAATACACCTTTTTCAACAAAAAAAGGTTCGTGATGGTTTTGTTGAATGCTGCATACGGCTAAGCCCGAAAGAATTGTCGGGGAAAATAAAAAAAAGGCTAGAAATTTTTATAAACTTTGTCTGTACGTTTTTCCGGTATATTTTCTTCTGTGCTGACATTAATTACATATGAATATAAAACATGTTGTGCTTAGTAGGCAACATGCAACATGCAACATGCAACATGCAACATGCAACATGCAACATGCAACATGC